CTTCAAGAATCAAGGAAGCTAATCACAAGATCTTCATCTAAGAGGTAAGATTCTACTCCCTAGCCCTAAATTTTGGGATTTGTACTAAAAGTAGGTAATAAGAAGTATTATTCTTAGGTGTGGGAGTTGCTCTTTGTGAATGAATGTACCCATAAGGGTGGTAGGAGGGTTGTTGAACTAAAAAGGGTAAATGATTTGTTGCGGGATGAAGGGATTCCACCATAGAAAACTTGTAGTGGAATTTTCACACCTAGTGCTTGATGAAATGCCTAAGTAAGCTGAAACCATGAATCGCTCCCTAATTATGGTTCAATTTTGTCATATCTCTAGTGTATTGTAATTGCTAGAAGTGTTAGGACGATGTGGTAATCTAAGGGAAGCTCAAACAAGTTATGTTGGCTAAACTTCTCTCCTAAAATTGAATCCCATGATGTTATTGTAAGTCCCATTGTAAGTCCCGAGTTATTTATTGTAAATTGACTATTCCGAATATGCTTTGTGTCAAAAGGTATATGCTCAAAATGTGTTCTGGATGCTCTTATGATATGATGCTATCCTGTAGGAGCGTGTTCAAAGCATGAGTTAGGTATTAAAATGTTATGACTTAAAGTCGTGTTTCAAGTGAAGGCTATTATGCCAAATTTTATAAGAAATCTCAATGTGCTTATGACTCTTAATTGCTCATATGTGTACTAAAAGTTGTGATTAGAGATTCTTTATTGTCGATAATCTATAAAGATGCTTGAAAGTGAAAGGATTGAGTTGGGGATATAAAGTGTGGCTACAGTGCCAAGAATGAAAGTTATACTTGTGGCCAATAGTGCCAATGAAAAGAATTGATGTGTGAAAGATTATGAAATGAGCCTTAATTGCTAATGAACTTAGAGTTATGATTTTCAGAATATTCTATATGTTTATGTTTATGATGATGATCCTTAAAAGTAAAGAAATGGAAGTGTGGAATATGATATACGACCACACTGCCATGAATGAAGAATAATATGTATGGCCAAGGGAGCCAATGAAATAATAATGTTGTGAGTAGTTGAAAGTACTAATGAAGTGATATATGATGTGAAAGGTTATGAGATGAACATATTCATACTTATATTTCCAACGTGTTATAAGCTCCTATGCCCTCATGAGGAGAGACTATGGTGTTCCTAAATGTTTTAAATGTTCTTAATGTCTCGTGATCACCCATGGCAAGTACAAGTAAGTGATAGTATGAACATGAAATGCTGTGGCCGTTTGCCAAAATAAGAATTATGAGGTGTTGTATGTCCCAATGGTTTCAATCATAGTATGTATGCTTCTAAAATAATAAATGTAAATGACTTTGATGTTAAGTACCCAAGAATCATGAACTTAACTAATAACCTTAAGATGACAAGAGAGTATATAATGAAGTGGAAGAGGGATGTCCTATGCTAACTGACGATAAATCTTATGAAAAACATATTTGGGTCATGTGCCATTGAAATTGACTTATTGATTCACCATACATGTGCTAATGTAATGAGCTGTGTTTCTCCATGATGAGCATAAACATGAACATGAACATGAAGTATTCCAATGATCGGGGAACTTACGACCTTAAAAGTTGCGCTAGTCATATGTATAATGATGTGTTATGAACCCTATGGAAGGGCTATGAAACACATAGCTGTATAATGTAATATGTGATCCTATGGACGGGGTATGAAACACGTAGGAGTATAATGTAATGTGTGACCTTATGGACGGGCTATGAAAAGGATAAGTGTATAATGTAACATGGGACCCTATGGACAAGCTATGAAACACATAGGTGTATAATGTAATATATGATCCTATGGACGGGCTATGAAACACATAGGTGTATTGTATAGGTGATTCTATGGACGGACTATGAAATGCACAAGAGAACGGTATGAATCCTATGGACAAGCTATGAAACGCATAAGTGTATTGTATTATATGATATATGAACACTGCGGACGGTCTATGAGATGCATACATGTATAATATGATATGTGAACACTATAGACAATCTATGAGACACATAGATGTATAATATAATATGTGAACACTATGGATGGTCTATGAGACACATAGGTGTATAATATAATATGTGAACACTATGGATGGTCTATGAGACACATAGGTGTATAATATAATATGTGAACACTATGAACGGTCTATGGGACGCATAGGTGTATAATATAATAAGTGGACAATATGGACGGTCTATGAGACACATAATTAATGCAAACAATAGGTGTCACTTTCATTGGCCTAGTTTGTACTTGTTACAGTTACATTATATTCGGTATCACACGCATGGTTCTTATGGCTCATTTGATCCGGAGAGAAGTTCAGCATAATGTAAGTATAATCAGACTTGAAATGTGATTCTATGGAATGTTTCCTAGTTTCTTGATGTACTTCATTTTCCTCTTATTTGAGTTATCGTATTTTCATATGTTATTTTGTCTACCTTACATACGAGTACTATTCCACACGTACTTACGTCCCTTTTATCAGGGGCGCTGCATCTTTAATGGATGCAGGTGGTTCTACAACATGTGGCATTGGTCAGTGATAGTAGTACACACTATTTCCAGCAGATTATTGAACCCGCTACAGTTCCAATGGGTATTTGAGTCTATCTTGTTTTATGTACCTAGATATCTATTGGCATAGAAGCTCCAAGTACATTGTGGGTAATGTACTTAAGTTTTGAGTTTCGTCATGTATTTACGTTCACAGATATTTATGAAGCTATGTACCCATTACGAGAGAAAAAGAAAAAAAAATTATAGGCCATTAAGCCAAATGTATTCAATTTGAAAGTCAATATCAAATTATGTTTTGATAAAACATGCATTAGTTATGATGAGAGGTTGATGTAAAGTAGGCTTGCTCGACTGGGTTTACTCGATTGAGCGCCGATTGCGCTCCCCGAATTCAGGGCGTGACAACAATCAACAATCAACCACAACCTTTCCTTTAGAACAAGCGTCAACCAATCGAATCTAGCCAAATCTTATTCAAACAATTCAAAATAAGCTTTAGAAACTACCCACAAGTGAAAAAGTTTAATATTTAACTAAATTGAAAAAATCAACCCAGACTCGCGTGGTCAAAATTCGAGATTCAGACCAATCCCCATTACCCATTCACCCCCAGCCCGGATATGAGATTTGATTCGAATTCCGACCTCAAATTGAAGTCCAAATCTCAATTTCATAAAATTCTTAAATTCTACCCAAAACCCATAATTTCTACCTTGAAATTCATAGATTTGATGTTAAAACTCATGAAAAAGTAGTTGAAATTGATTGAAAACTAGTTAAAGATACTTACCAATGAACTTGGGAAGAAAATCCTCTTCAAAAACCGTCTCTATGGAGTTTAGGGTTGAAAAATAGTGTACCATGAATTAAGTCCCGAAATTCCCCTCTTTTACCCAGTCGTAAATATCACAATTGCGAACACTTATTTGCAATTGTGACCATCGCAAAAGCGAACCGCTGATCGCAAATATGCGATTAGTGTCCCATCAGTGTTGTAGACGTAAATACGACATTTCCTTTGCATTTTGCGAATTCCACCGATTCTCAATTGCGGATACGGACATCGCAATAGCGAAGGAGCCTAGCTTCCCCAGGGTTGCAAATGAGACTCATCTTCCGCAAATGCGATACGCCCACCAATCACAAATGTGATGTTTTCTTCGCAAAAGCGAAGTCCTCAGCCCCCAGCTTAACTCTGCAAATTCGAGCCTGGCTTCACAAAATCGAAGCTTGCATTTACAGGCAAGTCTTCCCATTTGCGAGACCTGTAGCCTAGCTCCACCAAATTTTGCTTCAGCAGTTCATTTCCTTCCAGAACATATTCAAAACACACCCGAGCCCCTCAGGCTCCAATTTGAACATACACACAAGTGTAATAACTTCATATAATCTCATTCGCTCACTCAAATTACCAAAATAACATCAAACAACAAGAATAGATCATCAAAACTCAAGAATTTTCAAGTTTAAAACTTATTTTTTCCAACGTTTCACATAATGCACCGAAACGGCCTCGGGTCACCAGGTACCCCAACCAAACATATTGTTACGCGGCGCCTTCGTGAGATTTCTTGGAAGGGCGAAGTAAGGCTAAGCAACTGATATCAGTGCAATTACTGTCCGCCAACTGAGGTCCCCTCCATACGCTAGACTAGATTGTCAGTGTCGTACGGGAAAACCAATATCAAGAGCAATTGAGAGAACAAAAATGAGAATTGAGAATGAAAGAAAGCTTGATTGCATTAATGAAAGCTATTACAGAAAAGCAACACGGTGTCGAGGGGGAGAGACACCAGTACAGAGAATTGTTTGCTTGCTAGAAAGTTTGATTGCTTGATCCTTCCTAATAATGCTTAAAAAAAATAAACCAATGCTACAAGACTACACTTGACTAAGCTATAGAAACATAATGGAAGTACATGAAATAAAACTACTCTATATTTACAATAAAAAAGACTTAATTTTCAACAAGGCAGAAACAGGTCTGTTGTCAGCAGCATTGTCTTTGGCATCACGGTCTGCGTGCCCGACGTTGTCTGCACGCGCGGCGCTGTTGGCATCTTCCTGTGGCTGGGCACTGGCGAGGGATATCGGTGGGGCGACAGAGGCACATGCGTGCTTGTCACTTGGCGCGACCAAGACCACGAGGCCGTCCGTGACGCTATGCATTGGGAGGCTTGCTAGGACGTCATAGGGCGCACCCAAGGGGTCATGAGGCATGGCTGGAAAGCCGCCCATGACAATACGAGTCCAAAATCATCATACGAATCGTCAAAACACCAATCCGAGGTCATTTACCAAAAATGATGACCGTTGTCAACTCTAGTCATTTTTAAAGTCAAAAATTACATTTTCTTTAAAAGTTCACGTTTGACCACACACGCAAATTATAAATCATCAAATAGAGCTATGAAAAGTCTCAAACTTAAAAAGAAAAACTAGTACTCAAAACGACCAGTCGGATCGTTACCATACCATTATCAAATTTCAATTGATTTCTAGTATAAGATATATATAGAGTGAAAAAAAAATAATGAAGTCACTACTTAAGAAGTATGGCTGATTAAACTTCTCTTTAAATCTTGTATAATTTCATCACAAGTTGATCGGCATTGCTTGGGTAACAGACAAGTCGTCGATAATTGTGGTAACTTGTCCAAGATGAGTTCCCCATCCAAAGCCAATACTCTGCACATTCATTGAATCGTAAACAGGACGGCAGACATAAACCAAAATTGCATGTATACGTGTCAGCATTGCACATTTACACTTGATGCTTTTTAAACATATATACATACATACCTAATATAAAATTGTGTTACTAGTTTTTCAAATCTATATTTATATAAATATTATTGGAACTAAATGTATGTGGATCGCAAGTAACGTAGAAAAAGAGTTCCTCCATGATCCTATTAAAATACACTGTCATTGTACAAACCGACTAAATTCAAAATTTGGTCAAATGAGAAGGGCTTATTCATGGAACCCAAATCTTGTGTCAAAGATTTATGCAAAGCATAATTTATTAGGAGGAAATTTGATAAACAAAGAAGGGAAAAAGACAAGAACATATATACCCGTTGAATTTGCAAGCAATGTAGGAGTCCACAAATTGTTGAGTGCTCCGTAGGTTCAAACTCTGACAGAGCTTGTAATACTTCTGCAAATAATACTTCTGATGTTGGTTCTCCGCTAGAAAGAATTCACAATTAATTTCTTTAGAAAATGGAGTTATCTTTGTAAGAATCCTCCTATTAAGTTTCATTTGCCGCCTTATCTTTGACTCCTGTGCTTGTTTCCTCTCTTCTTCTGTTGAACAGAATANCTTCCTTCAGACACCTCTCTATAGGGAGGTTTCCTTATATTTCCTCCACAGTAACCGGTTGCGGTTTTTACAACTCCTTCTACTCGACCATATGCAGCTTCTACATCATGGAACTTATCTGCAATTTTTCAAAAAAAACATACTTGGCACAGAATCAATAAAAAGAGACTGTAATTTTGACACATAAAAGCTTATAAGAGCTAGGGTTTAGTAGAAATATGTCATTCGAGAAAGAGAGATGTATGTACCTCCAGCAAATATTGCATGACAGAGGAATTCTGCCGGAATATTGTTAGCAGTTAACAGAGTGTTATCTGAATCTTGAGCTTTGCTCTGTCCGAGTAACTTGAAGTAGCGCATAATTGAATAAATCTGTACTTAGTCAGAAGTCACAGAAGGAGATGAGTGGATGGCCTCTAATTTATGGAGATTATACCTTAGTCTTAAGGGAAGAGGGATGACACATGCATATGTACCAACAAAAAGCTGCTTAGTATGAACTACACAGCCTGATTCAACGCCACATTGAAAAGTGCCTAATTTAGAAAACCGTGTGGCTTGTGGTCAGAGCCGGAACGCTAGGTGTCATCTAATAATGTTTCACAAAAGTTTGCTTTATCTGTGTAAATAATATATAATTTCTAAAAATAATAATACTTATATATGTATAGCGACTAGACACACCTTGAAAATCAATAAAGTAAAATTTGTATGTTGATTTTTCCTTTTTCCAATAATGCCCATGATTTTATTTTTTTTCATTTTGAGGTGGTGTTAAATACATTAAATAAACAGTAAATACAAGTTTATCATATATAAAACAATTAAAAGACATAAAAACAAAAATACACCAATTTGCATGTACAAATAAGTTTTAAATGATAATTTACAAATAATAAGTAATATAACATAAATTGTAACTCCATATGACACAAATAATAAAATTTAAAGGAAATATGAGCTAACAATTTTAATATATTACTTTAAATAGAATTAGTTTAAGCTAAAAAAAGTAAAGGAAACGAAGCTAAATTAAGAAAACATGCGGCATATGTTTATATATATATATGCCAAGTTAGAACCCATGCATTCTATGGGGAATTGATCCCGCTTGACCATTGAGCCACCCTTCGCAATTGTGATAAGTGAGTTCATTCATATTAAATGTACATTTTTCAAGTGTAATTACATATGCAAAAAATAATTTTTTAATGAAGCGGATTGCTCCCATGTGAGTTCGCCCCTGTTGAAAATGATGCAAACGATATACTATCAATTTGAAATAGCACGTAAAATCTTAAAGAATCATAGTGCCATATTTATATAAATTAACTTACAAGTCGATAACAGACCAACACCAGTTGCGTAAATTTTTTAGTAAGAGGTATCATCCAATGCAGCTTCGCAAAGCTTTTCCTTATATGTAAATGATGTATTTTATTTAAAAAATAACAACAATAATAAACACAATATATTCCCATAGATGGGGTCTGAGGAGGGTAGTGTGTTCACAGACCTTATTCCTTTTCCGAAGGAGTAAAAAGATTGTTTTTGAAAGACCCTCGGCTCAAGAAGACGAAACAGACAAGAAGAGAAGGAAAGGGACAATATACTAGTACCATTAAACAGAAACCAAAAGAAATAATAACAACATCATAAAAACTAGAAAATAGTTGAAATACAATAAAAAAACGAGAAAATAAACCCTGATGCTATGAACAACGGATGGATAGTGTGAACACAATATTAACCACTAGCAGTCGAAGGTCAACCCAATCAAACTAGCCTCACCCCCGGACTCGACTACGTCCTAATTTACAACCCTAATACTCGACTTCCATACCTTTCTATCAAGGGTCATATCCTCGGAAATCTGCAGCAACGTCATGTCCCGTCTACTCACCTCTCCCCAATACTTCTTAGGCCTACCTCTACCTATTCTCGTACCTGCCAAGTCCAAACGCTCGCACCTCCTCACCGGAGCATCAGGGCTCCTCCTCTGCCCGTGCCCGAACAACCTGAGCCTCGATTCCCGCATCTTGTCATCCATAGGAGCCACGCACACCTTCTCCTGAATAACTTCATTCCTAATCTTATCCTAAAAATGTATTCATCATCTTTAACAAAGTACGAATCATAAAAACTCGATAGGGGTCTAGTTTTACTCTATGAGAGACGAGGATGAGATCTTCCCTGGTATTACAATAGAAGGCAATTGATGAGGATTTTCTTGGAAGATAAAAGAGTAAAAGAAGGCAGACCTGGAAAAGAGGGCTTTCAGTGTGATCTTCATGAGTGTAGGGTCCAAATGTAGTTCTCTCCAAGTGTGGCCCTATAAGAATGGTGTAGATTTATTTTTGAAAATAAAACATGCAGTATTTTCAGGATTTGTTGAATAGAACATGATGATTGAGAGGCACTGACGAGCGCAAAATACAACACGAAATTAATGTTCACTAGGTAAACATAGTATAGTTATGATTATCGTCTCCACATGGATAGAATTTAAAAAATGTTTAATTTCTAGCTTAACGCTATTAAAGATGATTAACTCATTGGCTGAGATAATGAATAACTAAAATTAACTATAAAACTAAAACAATTAAAAATTGATCACTGAAACAAAAGAGTTGAGCAATACAAAATATCAAAGGGGGGAATAAGGGTCGTGATAGGATAGGTGCAAGATAGCTATTTAGGATGCAAGATAGTTATTTGGGATCTAACTCTAGTTCAGTTCACTCTGATGTTCTAATGATTCTTACGAATTTACTCGATGATTAGTTCAAACGTGTAATTAAGATACCTCTCTCGATTAAATCTTAACTCCGTGAGGTGAACTAATATAAGCACTGCAAAAATATGCATGCATGCATTAATGGATTGGTTTTCAGAAAAAAAGTATTTATTCTCCTAACTTGATTTAATCAAGAATTCAACAAGCTCTTTCGATTATTTAAGAGAATCACTGAATTAAACCAAATAAAATAATGCAAGATAATCACCACAATATTCCTCTTTCGATTAAATAAACTGGTGAATAAAGTTGCAAACAATTCAAAACTCCATAAACGAATTCAAGCACAAAACTAGAGTTAAAAAATAAAAACACAATATCTGTCAAATCCTAAGGGAAACTACTCTATATTCATGGAGAAAATCATCACAAATAAAGTAGAATAATAAGAAATCATGAATTCAATCCAAACTCGGGTGTTCAGTTGAACCCACTTGCTCCTACGTGGATTCGCCCCTGTTGAAAATGATGCAAACGATATACTACTAATTTGAAATAGCACGTAAAATCTTAAAGAATCATAGTGCCATATTTATATTAACTTACAAGTCGATAACAGACCAATGACAGCTATGTAAATTTTTTAGTAAGAGGTATCATCCAATGCGGCTTCGCAAAGGTTTTCCTTATATGTAAATGATGTATTTTATTTTAAAAAATAACAACAACAACGAACACAGTATATTTCCATAAATGGGATTTGAGAAGGGTAGTATGTACGCAAACCTTATCCCTTCCCCCAAAAATTAAAGAGGTTGTTTTCGAAAGACCCTCGACTCAAGAAGACGGAAAATATGAGAAGAGAAAGAACGAGACAATATATTAGAACCATCAAGCAGAAACCAAAGAAATAATAACAACATCATAAAAATTAGAAAATAGTTGAAATGCAATAGCAAAACTAGAAAATAAGCCCTGATGCTATGAACAACGGAAGGATAGTGTGAACACAATATTAACCACTAGTGGTCTAAGGTCAACCCTATCAAACTAGCCTCACCCCCGGACTAGACTACGTCCTAACCTACAACCCACTCGACCTTCACACCTTCCTATCAAGGGTCATGTCCTAGGAAATCTGCTGCAACGCCATGTCTTGTCTGATCACCTCTCCCCAATACTTCTTAGGCACCCCTCTACCTCTTCTCGTACCCGCCAAGGCCAAACGCTCGCACATCCTTACCGGAGCATAAGCGCTCCTCCTTCGCTCATGCCCGTGCCCGAACCGCCTGAGCCTCGCTTCCCGCATCTTCTCATCCATAGGAGCCAGGCCCACCTTCTCCTGAATAACTTTATTCCTAATCTTATCCTTAAGATGTCTTCATCATCTTCAATAAAGTACGAATCATAAGAACTCGATGGGGGTCTAGTTTTACTCTATAGGAGATTAGGATGAGATCTTCTCTAGTGTTACAAGGGTTATAGAAGGCAATTGATGAGGATTTTCCTAGAAGATGAAAGTGTAGCCTGCCCTGTATCCTCAATACACCATCATCCCCATTAGTGACCTCCTAAGCATCACCGTGCCCTAAGGACAAGCAGATGTGGGTTATCATACTGACGCTCCCTGATACGATCATAAAGAAAAGACTAGGAGACCACACAAGCCAACACTTGACTCGACTCAGAAATATCCAATCTCACAAACTGGCTATCTAAGGATTGATCTAGCGCCATGGGCCTTTCTACTGTTGGTAGATATGCTAAACTCCCCAAACTCTCTGTCCAGCGACTCAAAGCATCTGCCACTACATTGGATTTGCCAGGGTGGCACAGAATGATGATATCATAATCCATAAGCAGCTCTAACCATCTCCTCTTATGCAAATTAAGATCCTTCTACTTGAACAGATGCTGCAAACTCCGGTGATTAGTGTAGATCTCACAAGGGACACTATACAAATAGTGCCTCCAAATCTTCAAGGCATGAACGATAGCTGCTAGCTCAAGGTCGTGGACAGGATAGTTCTTTTCATGCACCTTTAGCTGTCTGGATGCGTAGGCAATCACCCTACGGTCCTACATCAACACTGTGCCAAGGCCAACTCATGATTCATCACAATAAATAGTATAAGACCCCAAACCTGAACCCCAAACCTGAAGGCAATACCAATACTGGAGCTGTAGTCAAAGTTGTCTTGAGCTTTTGAAAGATCTCCTCATACTTCTCCGTCCACCTGAACGGAGCACCCTTCT